AAAAAAAAAAAATTTCAACCTGCGGGAATGAAAAAACCATGTTCTCTCAAGAGTCTGAAGAAAAGTGAAAGATCATGAAGACTGTATCCATCAAAAGAAGTGGTGGCTTCCATATAATGTCGCCGAAGAACTGCTTCAATCTCTTCCTGAAAATGGTAGTCAACACCTAGTCGCTGGATAGCATCCACCAACATTAAGCTTTCTATTTGATTTTCTAATTCCTCTGATTTCAGTAATTCCCTGACATCCTTCAGTTTTTGTTCATATTCCATGGAAAATTCATCCTGCAAGTAAGACTGGTTTTTGCTTTGCGTGAATATTAATATATAGATATATATATATATATATATAAATAATAGTTTTAGAACATTAATAACCTTTAAACTCTGCCCATTCAGAATGGTTTGATGGGGTTTAGAGAGGTCAGAAGTTTCTTCAAGAATGGTCCACTTCTGAGGAGTAGCTCTGCTCGGAACAAGAGATGGTCTAATATCTCCATTAAAACAATGGCTGGGTAAAGACGAGGTGCTCTTGGAGACTGCCATGGCACAGAGAGATGTATTTTTAGACAAAGAGCTATGCTTATTAATTAGAAGACGTTTGTTTGATAAAATTAAGAATTGATAATGGGATTTATATAGGGTACAATTAGTTCCTGCTCCAATTAGTGTTTGTGTGGAACGGTTCAGTGTATGGGACCGCCAAGAAAATGTTTAGATGACCATTAGTGTTTGTGTGGCGCATTTCATTGTATGGGACCGCCAAGAAAATGTTTAGCACATTCACATCCATTGACATTAATAATTTCTTGACAAATTCATAGTCATTGCTACGTTTTGAAATATATTCTTATGTTGAAGATTCTATGTTTCCATTTAGTATTAATCCTATTATCATACTTAAATATAAGAATTCCATTTAATGCCAAAGAAAGTGACATTTTTCAAGTAAATTTGACTTTTAAATTGAGTGGAGTATTACTTGTGACGAGTTAGTTGATGAGGCAACTCATAATTTTTAGATTTTTCTATCATCTATTGTGATCGTTCAACATATTTGTCTTTGTAAATTCCACTAGAATCCTCAACTTTTTGTTTATGTTTCTGTCCTATCATTGGTTACATTCATTTCTCAAACATTTTCTATATATAAAAATAATCAATCGTTGACATCAACTTTCATTTCGAAAATTCTAATAGAGTAAAAATTTTCAATGTTTCTTGAAATTTATCACTGATCCTTCAACTCATTCCTAAGAGCATCTATAATGATAATATAGATTGTATAAAAATTTATCACTGATCATTCAGCTGAACTGACAGTCGCAGAGTGAGAGTTCGATTTCTGTCTCTTACAATGTATGAAATTGGACTCGTTATGGGTATCAGTATGGCAGTTCTGTACCCTGACCTGCAGAGTTACATCCCTCGATTTACCTCCTCCACAATGCTCTAGGGGCGGGATGGGACCTTCAAGGTTAAGGTTCGGGTTCAACCTTTTTTAATAATGTGCATAAAAATTGAAGGCTAGAAAAAAACGTGTACAACAAAGAAAATATTGAATCTGTGAATGACATAAGATTAGATATAAACTAACTACAAAATAATTCATTTTGATTTTTAGAGACTCGTGCTGATAACGTTTTATGAAATAAAATTAATAGAAGAAAAAAAAAAGAAAATGATTTGTATAAAAAATGAAGGTTAAAAAAAAGTGTACAACAAAGAAAATATTGAATCTGTGAATGATATAAGATTAGGTATAAACTAACTTCAAACTAATTCACTTTGATTTTCGAAGACTCGTGTTGATAATCAAAACGCGTATCTATAGGGTTCAAAATTAGAGTTAGGACTAAGACTTGTCTATGCATGTTGATTTATCAATATATATTGCAGTCAAAGAAGATTTGCGTTTTGATAAGACTCGTGTTGATAATCAAAACGCGTATCTTATAGTTTTTTTGTTTAAGATAGAGGAAATTAATGATTCTTAATTATATCCAAAAGATTGTTTCTATTTAAGAAATTAATTTCGTGTGGATTCATCTTATATATTGCAGTCAAAGAAGATTTGCGTTTACTAAAGAAAATGATGAAAACTAATAAAAGGACCGGCGTTTACTAAAGTAGATGGGAGTAGATGAAGTATTTAAGGCATCTTCTTTAGCCATTCATATAATGAAAGCAATGTCAATTCGAAAGTTTTCTTAAGTCTAAAGATTGGTTTCATATGGACAATAGCAAGTGAATTGAATGTAGTATGCACTATTTTGTCTCTTCGTTCTCATTGAAACTCGATATAATTTTTAGTGGAGAACTCATTGCTAAATTCTTCAATTGTCAATGGGCGTTGATTCCTTGAAATTTAATATAGTTATTAAATTATAGGATAAGCTTTGAATGCAACATTAGAACCAAAAAAATAATCTTTTTATAATAGTGCTTTCGTGCTTGATTATGTCATGAATGTCTTCTTAGTCATTTATTGATATAATAATATAATTCAAGTGCCCACACAAAAGATATTTTCAAATTAGCCTTGAAATAAGTTCAAGTAGTTGATCCCAGAAAGATTATTTTTTGTTGACCCTTGTCCTGTAATAATGGATAAAATTTAGAGTCTACTCTTTTTTTTCTAACGTTGGATGGCTTAACTTTGAAATGTGAGGCTGAATTTCAATAATTAAAGAATCACTAACTCCAAAGTTTGTATTAAAAATAAAGTACAATATAATTAACTAGAGAGGTTAAGAATATCTTCAAAAGATTCTATAAATGTATATAAAAAAAATAAAAATTAGAGAGTCCATAGTTAAAAATAAGTTTTAAAAAACTCTCTATTCAATTTTTTAAAAAAAATAAAGTTTCAATACTCTATTTATTAAATTATACAAATTTTATTTGAATTATTTGGCCATTGACAAATAAAAAAAAATATGTTAGATGAAAAATGGGAAAAATCAATATATATTTCTTTAATAAAAACAAAATGATTAACCGAAATAAAGAGCATTTTAGATGTGTATAAAAAGTTTCACTATAAATTTAAATATGTTCACTATTATACATGGTACTCCTTGTAAATAGAGGAGTTCTACAAAGCGTAAAGCGTGATTAAGCATAGAGGTCAAGATTCAAGCGTTACGAACTTAAGCGAGGTCTAGACATAAAAAAGAACTACTTATTTTTATTGTTATTTTAAATACTTAAATCATTCTAAAAATTATAAATAATACATACCAAAAAAATTTAAAATTATAAAATACTGTATTTACTTAATAATTTTTACAATTACTCAATTATATATAGCCTATTTGAACCCCATTTTTTATTGGAATGTATTTTAGAATGGTAGATTAATGGAGAATGTGTAGTTGAAAAATAAAGAAAAACTTTGAGTTTTGTGTAATATTATTTTATTAAAAAATGTGTGGTTAAAAATAAAAGAGAGAAAAATGTATTTGGAAATAATGAGGATCAAACAAGGGAAAAAATTTCAAATTTTCGAAATACAAAAACTATATTATTTTTCATAATTTCAACATTCAACGAGAAAAAACATACTTAATAGATTTATAGGAATTTCATACGCACTTTTAAAGTTTCAACAATAAGATAAGTCTCAAAATTATAATTACATTATATAGATGGCACTAAAAATTAAATATTATCTAAATCTTTATTGGATAAAGTTATTTATTTTTGCACAAATAAAGTCATCTAAAAATATGAAACTAAAGTCAAATAAACGCATCTTAAAAAAAGTAAAAAATTAAATAAGGTAAAAAAAAAAATAATAATAATGCAAGTACTAACGGTCAACATAGTACTTTGAATGCATCAACCAAATTATTATATTGCTTTCCTCAATTGAAAATTAAAATACTTTGAATACATTTAATTATAGGGAGCCAAATTAATTATATTTTAAAAGGGTTAATTTCACAAACGGTCACTGAAGTTTAAAACTTGCAGCAACGGTCACTTAAGTTTCAAGTCCTTTCAAAAATGGTCACTGAACTAACTTTTCGGGCTGTTATGATTTTGATTAAAACTTAAGGATAAAAAATAAGGGAATATAGAAGCCCGAGGACCCTTAATTGCAAAATATCTTGCAATACAAGCCCAAACCACGAAAGCAACTCCACAATTCACGATTTCAAGTTTTGAGAACTTGGAGAGAAAACCGTGCCCTAATTTTCCAATCGGTGCAGTGAGCTTTAACGGTTGGTTTGCAACATCTGCGTTGAGCTTCAGGCCCAACTCATTGGTTTGCGGCATCTGCGTTTTGGTCAGTCTGCAGCGTTTGGTGCGGTGAGCTTTAACTATCATTTGCACCATTTGCATTTTGGTCGTTCTACTGTGCTCGGTGCAGTGAACCAACTCTTGGGCAAAATGGACAGTGAGTGTGATATGGAGGTGACGGTGGTGCGTTTTGGATTTGGACAGTAAGCTGAGAGTTCTATGGTATCCGAGTTTTATATTTCGTTCAACAATAAACAGAGATCAAGAAGGACAGTTAGCGTGATATATTTTGGATAGTAAGCAATTGGTTGTATATTGTTTAAGCATTGGGCAAACTGATTGGCTTGTTAACATTTGTATTATTTTTCTTCAGGGGTGTCTTTTTTGAGATTAAGATGCAAAAAATGATTAATCCCATCAACTAACGATTAGGAAAATATTTATCAAACTAATTGGTATATCACTACAGTCAATACTGCAAAGAAATCCCTTGGTGATTTTACAGAATTTTTTGGGTTTGGGCCCAACTTCCCAGGGAATTTGCAATTGATGGTCCTCAAGCTTCTTTTTTCACTTTTTTTATGTCCTTAAGTTTTAAACAACATCATAACAGTCCGAAAAGTTAGTTCAGTGACTGTTTCTGAAAGAACCTGAAACTTAAGTGACCGTTGCTGTAAGTTTTAAAATTCAGTGAACGTTTCGTGATTTTTAGGTAACTTTAGTGACTGTTTGTGAAATTAACCCTATTTTAAAATGTTATTTTGAATAGTTTCTTGCGGTTTAATCATAAGACGGTCCCTAATTTAAAAAGTCAATCATTAAAATTATGTTCCAAGACACTATTGAAAATAATATTTAAAAATAGCGAGTGAGTTTAATTCTCCATTGAAAATTAGAATATTTTGAATACATTTAATTATAGAGAACAGATTTGACTCTCCAAATTTTGAGAGTCAAATTGATTCTCTATAATTAAATACATTTAAAATATTATAAATTTCAATACTCCATATATTGACTCAATTAAATAGTATATACAAAAAAAATTGAGGAAAATAATATAATAATTTGAAGAGAACATGGTGAAAATAAAAAAAAAAAGGAAAAAAATAATAAATACATATTGAGATTAGTAAATTAAGCCCTTGTTTGAGCTTTATTTTTTCTATCAAAATGTATTTTTGAACAATGATTTAACCATATTTCAACAATACATTTTTTAATAAAATAATATTACACGTAAACTTCAAACTTTTTTTTAACTGCACATTCTCCATCATAACACTATTACAAAATGC